ATCATATTTTGAATAGCTTTCCTAGCAAGTTTAATCAGCTTAAGGTTGCTTACAATGCTCAGCGGGATAAATGAAATTTGAATGACAACATAGCAGTGTGTGCCTAAGAAGAGTATAGGATGCGCTGTGAAACTGTTGAAAGTGTACAATTAGCTTTTCAGCCATCACAGAATAAGGGGCCTTCCCATAATCATAAACCTAAGTTTCGTAAGGGTAATAAGTCCCATCGAAGTCAGCAGAATAAAAATTTTAGTGGTCCCAAAGCAGTTATAAAGAAAAATGATCAATGCAAGTTCTGTAAAAAGAAGGGTCACTGGCAGAAAGACTGTTTTAAGTTCAAGACTTGGTTGGAAAAGAAGAAGAGTTCTTCAGGTATTCCCTTGGCCTTAGTTTGTTTTGAGTCTTCTTTAGTATATGTACATTTGAATTCTTGGTGGTTAGACTCGGAAGCTAGTATTCATATTGCGAATTTCTTGCAGAGGTTCATAAGCAAACGAAGGCCAAGTGAGAATAAAGTAAGCTTGAGCGTTGCAAATGGATTCCAAGTGAAGGTTGAATTCATAGGAGTAGTGAAGTTAACTTTAGAGTCTGGTTTTTATCTTGTTTTGGAAAATACGGTTTATGTACCGCAGATGAGACGAAATTTAATTTCTATACCAAAACTTGATGCTTGTGGTTTTACATTTAATTTTGGTAATGGAATGGTTAAGTTATTTAATGATTCTTGTTTGATTGGGAATGACATTTTATGTGATGGTTTATATAAATTATCTTTGGCTTCTTTTGGTGATGTCTTGTGTGTTACAAATGTATCAAAGAAAAGGACTTTAATTCGTGAATCATCCTCTATGTTGTGGCATAAGCAATTGGGTCATATTTCTAAGGATAGAATGGAAAGATTAGTAAAAGATGAGATACTTCCTTCCTTAGACTTCTCCGATTTTGACACCTGCATAGATTATATAAGAGGAAAGTTAACTAAGTCTACGAGGAAGGGTTCGACTAGGAGTAATGGAATTTTGGACTTAATTAACACTGATATTAGTTGACCTTTGCTTTCCACTATATGTGGGAATAAATTTTTCATAACTTTCATTGATGATTTCTCACGATATGGATATGTTTATTTGATTAACGACAAATCACATGCACTTGAGAAATTCAAAGTTTTCAAACTGGAAGTAGAGAAATAATGTGGGAAAAGTATCAAAGTTGTAAGATCTGACCGAGGTGGTAAGTACTATGGGAAATATGACGAGTCTGGTCAAAATATGGGTGATTTTGCAAAATTTTTACAAGAGTGTGAAATAGTACCCCAATACACCATGCTAGTGACACTTGAGCAGAATGGTATTTCTGAAAGACGTAATCGAACTCTAAAAGATATGGTTAGAAGTATGATGAGTAGAACAAATTTGCCTGAATATTTGTGGGGTGAAGCCTTGAAAACAACTATGTATATTTTGAACAGAGTTCCAAGTAAAGCTGTTGCAAAGACACCTTTTGAATTATGGACAGGACATAAGCCAAGTATGGCTCACTTTAAAGTTTGGGGATGTCCAGCTGAGGTTAGGATTTATAATCCATTTGAAAAGAAATTAGACCCTAAATCAACTCCTGGCTACTTTATTGGGTATCCGGATAGATCAAAGGGATATAAGTTTTACTGTCCAAATCGCAGCACTAGAATTTGGAGTCCATTATTGCTAAATTTCTGGAGAACGATTTTGGAGATAGTGGGAGTTCCACGTTGAGAGAAATTCTTGTTAATCCTAATCAAATTGTAGTTCCAGTTCCTATCATACAGGAAAGAGTTAGTTCTCAACCAATTGAAGTTGTTAATGAAGAACCGAGGAACCAAGAGGAATCTCCAATTCCTTAAACAACGATTGAATCGGTTCCTGAGCCACAAGTTAGGAGATCACAAAGGGAAAGATGATCTGCATTGCCCAGTGATTATATTGCATATTTATTGGAAAGCGATTTTAATATTGGGCATATTGTTGATCCTATAACTTATAACCAAGCATTGACAAGTCGTGATGCAGATAATTGGATAGCTGCCATGGAAGATGAAATAAATTCCATGGAAAGGAATAAAGTTTGGGATCTTGTTGAACTTCCTCCAAATGCTAAGGCTGTAGATAACAAGTGGATTTTCAAAAGTAAATTAGATTCAAAAGGAAATATTGAACGAAAGAAAGCAAGATTAGTTGCAAAAGGTTTCACTCAACGAGAGGGCATTGATTATGTTGAAACCTTCTCCCTTGTTTCATCGAAAGATTCTTTTCGAATTATCATGACTCTTGTGACACACTACAATTTGGAGCTTCATCAAATGGATGTTAGACAGCATTTTTTAATGGAGATCTTTCTGAAATGGTTTATATGAAACAACCTGAAAGTTTTGTTGTAAAAGAAAAAGAAAGCTTGGTGTGTGAGTTAAACA